AAAATCGCATGTGGATTCTGCATGGGATTAGCAAAGGGATTTGACCCCTTTGACCAGTGAGCACGTCTGTAAGATTACTGTACAAACAACTGCTACAGGAATAAAATCTGAAGTCAAACAGTATGCAGGAGTGGAACTCAAGAGCACTACATGGGTTTCGGAGAGGTTTGCGGGTTATTTTCTGATTGTGACTTGAAGTATGTATTCCATTAAAGATAATATGCAAACCACATTGAACTGAATTCTCTTACAAAAAGGACAACTCCAGCAAGTGCCGTCACTTGATTGGAAACACCTTGTTTCAACCAAGTGTTTTGCTCTGCAATGGAGATTAAATGCAAATTCTCATTTTCCTCTTACGCTTGACCCTTGCCACCTCCTAACGGGTCCTTTAATTCTCCTGCTGCCTCCGCGTGGCTCTCGCTGTGGCCAGATGTTGGCAGCTGTCCCCAGCTGCAGGCCGGCCCCATCCCGGGGGCCAGGTGGGATCTGGGCTGCCCTCCCCATCCCGCGGCATTCCCTGCGCACCCGCTCCCAGGCGAGGACGTGTTTGAGACTCCTTGGAGAGAAAGCTCCTGAAACCTCCTCTCCTTTCCACTTACATTTAGCTTTACCTTACACACAATTGGAGCTTTTGTATCTGTTTGATGTAGTCAAGCTTCTTAAAGATCAAGTGCTTTGAGAGGCATCTTTAAGCAGCGCTTTGTCCTTTCTAGCACCCTCTTCAAGCACGTTCCTCTTCGTCTTCCCTGTCCACAAGTGCATTCCCTCATTTCCAAGCACGCTCCTAGCCCCAGCATGTGGAGGAGCCGGAGAGCCCGTAACCGTGACACTGCGTGTCAACCCCTCTCACAAGGCGTGCACATGTGCCTGGAACACATGACACTGGATATATACTGGTGCCATTAGAACTGAGAATGGAAAAAAAATCCTGGAAATCTGTAATATGACTTGGTAATATTGCTTAAAACAGCATCTTAACACGAACAGAGCAAAAATTAACTAGCAAATATGCACTAACTGAAAACTCAGGTGACTGCAGACCAAGTCCTCATTTTGTGAGATTTAAAAAACTTGTTTCTAGCACAAAGAAACAAAAGCCTGTCTCCCTCCACCAATAATCTTTATATGAAAAATGAATTTTGAAAGAGGGCCTGAAATACAGGAGAGTCCTTGCTTTCCTCAGCAGATAACAGTGGAAAGCAGAGGTTGGGAGATGATACAAAAGGAGGTGCAAAAGGTATCGTTAGAAAATGAAGCCAAGCATATGGAGATCATGTCCCACTTCCAAAAGTTACTCAGTTTGTGGCATATGCAAATCACTTGAGTTTTCTGCATTTAAGTATAATATATCCCTGGTTGTATTTGTAGAAAAAAAAAAGAGCCCATAATCTTTGGTCAAAAACAAGCAAACCTATTTTGTGTCTCAATAAACAGCTAGAGCCACAATTCATTCCCTCTCCAAGACTTCCTTCTTCTCTGGATATGCAGGAGTCTGATCCTGCCTTGAAGGTAGACAGCAAGCTTCAGCGGGCAGTTTTCAGATGATAAAATCCAGGGAAAAAACTAGAAGCAATTCCCCTTGGAAGTGGAATACCTAAAAACTCATCTATAGGGTCAGAGCAAACGTCCTTCTTGCCCAGCCCCTTGTCCAGAAGTGGCTGAGCTGGAGGCAGCGGCTGACACGGCTACACCTTAAACCAATGCCACAACACTGGGCAAGAACGCTGTCTATTAAAACCAGCAAGGTGTATTTTATCCACCTTTGGGTGTTTTAATGCCCATTTTCAGATAGCAGCCATGTAGGGCCATATTTATGGGAGAGCAAAAAGAAATATTAGGCAATCTAGCTTAGCCTGCTGCGCAGGGCACGGTCCTCGGGAGGGACACGGGATCCGTTCCAGGATGCAAACGGCACAGGCTCAGCCCGGGGTATATTTTATGACTGAGTTATAAACCCCTGAAAAACAGCTCTTGGAATGAAAATGCTGACACAGTCTTCGGTGTAGTGACAGCAATGTCATTGGTTCAAATTGAAATTGCTTTGTCCACCTAAGAGCGCTTAAATAACTACATCTGAAAACCTCATGAAAATACTACTACTACAAACTATGTGCCATGGAACACTTCTTTAAACAGGTTTACAGATTATGTATTAAACTTAATTCACCTCTAAGAAAGAAATTCACCTGAAGAAAGGACATGCAAACTCCAAAAAGCCACTACGACAACAACAGCTACAATTATGTATTAAACTTAATTCACCTCTAAAAAACAAATTCACCTGAAGACAGACATGCAAACTCCAAAAAGCCACTACAACAACAGCTACAGATGGAAAACAGTGAAAAATAAAGCCCAAGCTAGGAGGATTTTTTCTTCTTTTTTTTTTTTGGGGACACAGCAAGAGTGACAGGAAGCTGAACACCCTTAGTCATCTACTGCTGCAAAAAGAGCAAGGGCGCTCCTCATCTCCCAGACTTGTGTGGTACTTGGATTTAATATTTTGATCTAATACTTTTCACCCTCAGCCCCCATACTTCTGGGGCAGTTTTCTTAACCTTCAAAAGTAACACTTTGGTTTCCCATTACACATAGCTTTGCAGCAAAGAAATTCAAGGCATTTTAAAGGCTCAGAAGAATACTGCAGAAAATGAGAAGATTTACTCAGCTGCTGCTTTCTATCATCATGCATCAAAACAGTCCTTATGAACTTAGTCCCCCACGAAAATTTATTTTCAGCGCGCTGTACCTGTGCTAGCTTGAAGCTGTAGGGATTGCAGGACTAAGTGGAGACAATTTTAAAATCTTACAAGAAATGCTAACTTCACTTTTTAACAGCTCCATCAACAAGAGCCTGGGTGTCTGCACTACCAATCCCCATGTCAATAGACAGTGTTACTTTAATGACAGTGACCCTGTGTGGCTCTTTGAGCATCTTCCTCACCTTTCTTGAGACATTTTTCTAAGCCACTGTCCTTGCTTTCATCATTTAGCACATCACTCAACCCACTTCAATAAAACAGTGATCTTGTTGGAGAGGTCTCGGAGGACCACGCGACATACCAATTAGCAAAGCACACAGAACCAAATTGTTTTGTGTATCTGGTTCAGGAGACACTCAGAGAAAATGGGAGAGAGAAAAAGGAAGTTGAGAAGGTTCAAAAGTAGAGAGTGAATGTAAATGAAAGGACTTCTCCTAATATTGGCTGATATGGTGTGAAATCCACTCGTTAATTCATGACTAGTCAGGTTCTCTACTAATAATCCTAAATTAAATTTCAAATATCTTGGTCTACATGAAAACTCTTCACAGTTTGGGGACTGGTGTTGCACATGGAAATACATTTTTTATATCTCTTCTGTTCAGCAAAAGAATCTGTGAACACTTGCTCTACACAACTTCTGCATATACATGTATCACTATTCCACTGTGAATCAAGAACACGATAGTCAAATATTAATGCTATACAGTCCCATTTTAGCCCTTTGTCAGTTAGATTCATTTACAGAGTGTGTGAATATGTTCTGTATCTCTCCCAAAATTCTGAGGACTCTCCAACCATTGAAATTTGCAGTAAAACAAATTAACAGCACTGCATCCCCTGTGACACATTTGAGTATGTCACTATTATATACAGAGTTAGCTTTAATCAGACTTGAAAAAACATTTACAAGATCTGAATGCAATGATTCAGTGTTAAATATTTTCATTCTGGTTAAAACCGATCATGCGTTCAGCAAGGAATATTTATTGTTTGAAAATACAATAAAAGTCTCAATTAACTTTCAGTCAACAAAAGGTGACATTTGCCTAGATGTAGAGGGCCACCCCATGACCAGCCCTGTGCGAAGGACCCCGTGTGCTCACCAGGACGTGACCACGACAGGATGACACTGCTCTCACAAACGGAGTAGAATTTCTGTGCTGCTCACACTGCCCGGGGGCTAAATATTATCCAGCCCTGGTCCAAGGTGTGGGAAGTTCTTTTATGGCATTGATCGTGGACTGAAAAAGTCTCCTGAGAGGCGACACTTGAGCTTAGAAGGCTGAGGTTTTCAGACTGAAATTGGCTTGTTTGAGTCTAGCTTGGGCCAGTCTGAAAAAGGCTACATAAATATATATAGCTCTGTCCCCACCAGAGTCACCCATCCCTTCCCCTGGACCAAACCAAGCCAGACCTCATTTTACTTGTCAGGACTCAATCAGAAGACAGACATTTCTACTCAGTTACATACTTTAGTTCTCTTCATTGTAAGCAGTCATCTCTATTTAAATAATATATATATATATTTTTAAGTCCTTTCAATTTATGTTTTAAGACATCGTATGAGTACGAACTATAAACAAAAAAACACCCTTTCCTGAATAAGAACTGACCTTGTTCTCACTAAACTTGCAGAAACTATGGATTTACCTGCACGACAGTTTCTATGATCACATTCATTTTAAACTGCTTCATTTCCATATGACTTTCCCCAGTTTTAAACTATGTTTGCGAGAAATCTTTCTAAACGACGCAGTGAGCACTTAAACCCAAACACCTTATTTAGTCACACCGTGAAGGATTTGTTGCAATTATTTAAGAGTTTGCAAGGACATGAGCTCAACTCAAACCTTAGATTTGTGTAACTCTGTTTTAACCCTAATAACAGCCCTCTCTGTCTGGGCCTGTGAAGATGTGATAAAGGATCCTGCCGCCGTCAGCCCCAGAGATGCTGAAGGGACGTAGAGTCACCCACGTACCAGGCCCTACCTTCTGCTCTCGGAGCCCTTTGCCAGAGGATTTAACACTAACAGGCTTGTACAGAGGCTCTCTAGATCTAATTGAATTTAATTCAGTAAGAACAAATCCATTCTAGATACAGCCAGGAAATTTAGCAATAATTAAAGCACGTATTTATAAAAGAGTATAGAAAAGACCAGATTAAAATACTTTGAGGTTAGACTTCATCTGATTCTTTCAATATGCACAGGAAAATGATATCAATGTACATACCTCCATGAAGGAAATCCCTAAACTCCAGACGTCAGAGTGAATTCCATACTGCTCTCCCGAAATTCGTTCAGGCTGCAAAGAGACAGAAAAAAACCATCTTCTTGAGGCCAGCAAACAAACGTGAATACTTCTCCCACAAAAACTAGTCTGGGGCAAATAAATGGACTGCGAAAACGCAAAGCATCTTGCATGAGCTCACCAGCTAATCCCACAGACAGCAACAACCCTCTTGGAACATGTTCTAGTGGGTTTTTTGCCTCGATTCTGCAAGAGCAGAGGGCTCAGTTATGCTCAGCCTTGTGGTCATGCATTGCTATGCACCCTGCACCGCCGGCCTTGGTGTTTGTGTTTGGGCTGTTCTATCCCACAGGGAAGCGGATGATCCGCACGCGTGCGGCGAAGCCCAAGGACCCAACAGCAAGGCAGGCAAGGAAAGCAAGGCCTTGGCCAGCAACTGGGGCTTAAAAAACAAAGGCACTGAAACCCAAAACCCCAGTGAGGTCACGTGCCCGGCAAATTTATTTTATATACGTATTAATTCCATTTTTGACCCATGGAAAAAAAAGGCTTCACTCAAAACTATTAATAGCAAGTTTAATGCCTCATGAAACAGAGCTGTAAAATATAACAGCTAGTTTTTACTTGAAAGCTACAATTTAAGCATTTCCAAGGTCAAGTACAGCATGAAATGTAACAATAAAAGGCTCCCTGAGACTCCTCTCCCTACTGTGCTGTTAATGCACCTGTCTAGCCCAATCACCTATGAAGCACTGGCTGTATTTTTAGTCTTTAATAATCCAGAGACCTTTTTAGAAAACAAACTCCCAAATTAGTGCCAGTCCAATGTGTTTTTGGATGTTTACTCTGCACTGCTAATCCCAGGTCAAGAGCTTTTATCGCAGCATGAATGTTAAGTAAAATAAAGAAAGAGACAGCTCTGCCCACATTACCTTAGGGATAGCCTTTCAGAACTGCCATAACTAAAAAATAATAATTAAAAAAGATAGGATTGAAGAGAAGCAAAATCTTTTTTGCCTGAGCCTCATTTATGAGGTGTTGGATGGCTAGTAAAAAAAGAAAAAAAAAATAAGTTCATCAAGGCAAGCGTTTGTAATACAGAGAGCATTTGCTGGCACATATTAGAGCTGTTTACGTTAGCAATGCAGGGAGGTAGAATTTGGGGGAATTGTCTTAGGCAGCAGAGCTGCTCCTCCACAGAGCAGCCGCATCACCCGCCCAGCCTGCCCTGCTATAACAACTCAGCCCCCAAACAGGAGCTCTCGTTTAGAAATCAGGTGTCTGCAGAAGACAAAGTGACAAGGAAATCATTAGCACATGTGAACAAAAACTCTAGACAGATCAATTCCTCTTTCAAAAGTATGGAAAGAAGATGAAAATAAAAGTCACATATATATAAAATATAGTGTGCAACACCCAGGTGATGCTAGGGATGCAAAGGCTAAAATCCTAAGATTGAAACTCTTATCTTAAGAATTTCTGAAAATAGGTTTTGGACATTCGGGACAGTTCACAGCTCTCTAAGATGTGGACAGGATTGTTTCAGATAGCCTATAACCGGTGCACACCTTGACTAGCAAAACACTTAGCAAATAAATGGACATCCCAATCTGATACAAAGTAGTAAAATAAATAAATATATAAATAAAAGCAATTAAAGGTCATGGATTTTTCTCACCCCTTTTCTAAGTTTTGAAAACACAAGAATCAGCCATTTTGCACTGCCGTTTGCAAATTGCTTTGTAGTAAGCTGAACACTTATTTTTACTTCAATTTTACTACATAAGCAGTTTACTAAAAACATTTTAAGGACCAAAAAAAGACACATGGGCACTGCTTACCACTTGTCAGCTCAGCAAAAATTAATAAAACCAAATCTTTCACCCTAGCTAACCGTAATTTTCCCTGTGTGATTCAGCTTTAGAAATGTGTTACTTTCATCCAAAAATGATGGAAATTTACACTGTTAATGAACAGATTAAGCACAAAAGTACTCAGAACCAATGTTCTGCTGGCTAAAATTTATACAGAACAAAATGAAATGCACTGATGACTTGGTGAATACCAATGACTTGGTATGAAAAATACACAACAGGCAATTGATGGCTTAATTTAAGGAGCCCAAATGCTTTGACTTCCCATCGACAGGGCGCATTCCCATGGGAAGCACCCAGCTGTGCTTCAGCACCAAGGCACCTGTGAGAGCTGGGCACCCACCTAGGTCTTTGCTACCCTGCAGCCCGGAGCGGTGGCTCCCGAACCGCGGCCGGAACGGACCTCGTGCAGCCGCAGGTTATCAGCGGGAAGCTGCCTTTTTGTGCTGGACTGGCTCTTTCCTTTGTTCCCAGTTGTTACGATGCATTAAAGACAACTAAAAATACATTAAAGCAGCTCTTTTCCAATATTACTCTTCCATACCAGCGATCAGAGGAGCTGTTGCCGTGCTGTTATGCGATGGCAGATAGGAAGGGAGTGGGTCCGAGAGGGGGACCATGGGGGACACAATTAAGACACAGCTTCCTCAACGAGCGGGAGGGGATGAGGAAGGGTGAGAATTGATTTAGAATATATCCTACATTGCACAGAACGAGACTGCGAACAAATACTTCTGCTTAAACGTTATTCCTGCATAAATTCACTTACCGCCATGTAAGCATTTGTTCCGACATACGTCTTGGCTATAGAATTCACCAGCTATCAGACAAAACAGTCTGTTAGAACAATATAAAGATAATGTGGAAATAAAATGGGCAATTATTCCTCATTTAACCTACAATCATCATTCCTATAAATCAACTAAAAATTATGTAAAAGGGAACAAATTTATCTACAAAGGCATTAAAAATGATTAAATCTCTCTTCTGTTTTGAATGAGAGTTCCAATTTACACAAGCACTGCATTACAGTTTATGGCAGATAACCTTAAACAATTCTGTTAAACAGGATGCTTATCGCTTTAGTACCCCAAACTAGTCTGATATAAAAAGTCAATTTGAAGTAGGATTGAGCGCACTCATTTTTCAGTCAGCTGGCTCAAGATGTGAATAAAGCCACGCTCATTAGGCGAATGCAATGAGCACTAAATACGCTGGAGGGACAACAGACTCTGACAAGTTCTAATACAAGGCTGACCTTCTCTTTGGTCCTCATGTTTGGCTGAGAGGAAAGGTGCTGAAATTCAAATCAACATCACAGCAAGCTCACGGGTCACTATCAGAGAAGTCCTCCAGGGAGGCCCAAAATGGAAATTAATTAAAATTTGTGCTGCACATTGTAAAAGCCCACCACTATTGTTGCTCCCAATATTAATTTTTATTGTGGGCCAGTTGGGCTCCCCAGACACATCTCTCGTTCTGCCCTCCCTTTTGTCTGGCCGAAACGCTTTCATATCAAAGCTGCATATCAATGAAGTTTGCTATTCGTAAGTAGTAATTACAATATCAGCAGTTTTTACTGTCATTAAACAATGAACAATCATATTCCGATGGAAAAAAAAGTCGCCCGGAGATTAAAAATGAGCAGCGCTCTCCCGGCGGCGGGGAGCGCGCCGGAGCGCTGGGAATTACCTGCGTGCTAACCCCGAAGTCGCACAGCTTCACCTGTCCTCGCGTGTTCACCAGCATATTGGAGGGCTTCACATCTGTTGAGACACCAAACTGGGACTTAATCCACGTTACCCTCTACGTGCATCTTGCATACAGAGATATTTATTGTCGCGATACACTGGGAGGGGGAATTTGGAGAGACTTTGAATACAGCCTCTGGTTTATCACAGCCGTTAGCACAGGCAACATGGTGTCTGCACCTCTCAAATACCAATAAACCCTGTTATGAGATTGGCAGGTGACACCAATCTGGGATGGACACAGTGCACTGAAGGACGGGGCTTGGAAGTCAGAACGGTTTCGACAAACTGGCGAAGCAAAATGAAAAAAACACAATGACATTCAATTTCAAAATTCAACCAAAACGAAAGCACCACATTTAGGCAGAAATTAATCAACTGCATAAATACAGGATAAAACAGCTGCCTAGACAGATTATGGTATGAAGTGGAGAAGACAGAGGAGAGATGCTGGAAGTTTTCAAATACAGAAAAATCTGTTGCAGGAAACAGCAGGGAACAACCTGTGTTGAGATGATGAACAGGCCAAAACTTAACCAGCCAAAAGATAATAGGGAGAAATAAAGGGTTTTTTTTTTTTAAGGGTTTTATAATTTAAAAAATAAATCCATTGCATACTGCAAAATTCACATGTGAATAAACTCCTAATGTTTAGCCCAAGTTTAGAGGGAGAAACGTGGAGCATCTTTCCCTTCCAGGGACGCCAGCTGGAAGGCAGGATGTGAGAGATGCGGCCTGGCTTAGACCTGGGCAGATTAGAGCCTAGTGGCTTTGCCTAATCGCTGCTTTCTTCTGTCATTCTGGATTAAAAGTAATAGCCTGTATCTCTGCCTTCTTTAAAAGTGAACACTAGTTGGGCGCAGATGGATGAAAGGCAACTAGGAAAGAACCTAATTTTGCTTATCATTAAGTTTGCCTTTGTTTAGCAGATGTTTTCTGGTACCACAGTAGCTTGCTTAATTTGTCTCTGTAATGTAAAAATGGATAACTTCAATTAACAAACTGATTAAATGCTTTCCTATAACTGAGGTAAAAAATCCAGTTTAAAAAAGAGGAAGCACTCAGTACTGTGTTATATAACTTAAGTGGTTTGTTAATTTTAAGCTCAGTATTAATACTACTGGGGTATTCTGAAATTTCTCCCTAACGCCAAAAGAAGAGTCTTTCACAAGGACCTTCATCAACTCACAGCATCAGTAAACTAAGTTTGGGTACTGTGATCTCAATTGCAATTTTAGGGATTCAATCTGGACGTAGCACTTCAGATTTTTTTTTAAACCTATCTCCTCCTCAGGTGCCAAAAAATATTGCTCCAGAGCAATCCACGCAAATACCAAATCCCTCACTGCCCAGAAACATTTTACGAATGCTGCTTCTGCATAAAACTTTGGGAAGACTCCCATATCCGCTCCTGGCAGCGCGGGAGCGGCGCCTTCCCTCTCCCCGGTGTCCAGTGACCTCCTTAGGTTTCTCCGGGCGCGCGGAGGCCGCGCGCTGCAGTAATCCTGTTTAAGGGCCTTTCTAAAAATATGAGAGCCAGGAGATCTACCCAGGTATCGTGTTTGCACAGGGTTCTTCTGAACAGCAGAGCAGGCACTGTTACCTACGCAGAAAATACTGTTGTTTTGCTCTGCAAATGCATTTTTTTGTGGTCCGAGTACTTTTAAAGGCCAAATGCAACATGACAGCACTTGCTTCTAGCTGTAGAGGATATAACATAGTCAGTACTAACCAACCAAACTTGGTAAGCATTTTGGTGCATCAAGGAACTGGGTTCCTGGGAGCAGAACTGGATCAAGACCATCAGTTTTTGCTAATGCAAATGGCCAGAGTTTCCTTTTCCTCCCTATTACAAATATTTATTTGTCCTTGCAGCACCCATTTAAATAGTATCATAAGGGGAGGTTTTAACCTAGTATTTGCCATTCATTCCAGAGGTTACATATTGACTTCCTCAAGGAAAGAGGAACGAGACAATCCTAGACAAAAAAGCCACTTCAAAATCCTTCTCAAATTGAAAATGGGGAGAAAAATCACCCAATCAGTAAATTAGCCTTTTTGTTTTGCAAAGCACTTCAGTTAATGGGTTAAACATTTTTTTGTTTTTGGAAAACAAATGTGCATAAATAATGTTCTGCACCATCTGCTTGTGATTAATATTACTGTTTAGAAGTGAAAGAATTTAAACAAGAGCCAAAAGGGGTCATTATGCTCCCATTACCAGTGCTTGCTTAATACAAATGATTTGTATGAAGCATCATTATAGAGGATGAACAAGTTCTCTTTATGATATATCTGTCTAAGTCATTTCACCTCTCTGCAGATAAATGGGACCTCCAAGCTCTTACTTACCAGTAAACAGAATTGTCAGAGGGTCGGCTTTTTGAACGCCAAACATTTCAGTCATCTTGTTTTATTGAAAAGCAAACAGATTAATGATTGTGGACAAAAAAAGATTTATAAAAGGTGTCTCTTGACTTCTTCTGTCTTTTAAAAAATATACAAATGCAATGCACCAAGTTCAAGGAAGACAAGAGACACAAAAGCACAGTTTTAGCTGGGGACAGTGCATGGAACATTACTGTTGACAACAGCCAAGCAGCTGGAAGAATGGAAATATTTTCTTGCCATAATGACCTCATCAGCATGCTTTTTGCAGAGCCGTGATGTTTTGTTTAAAAGCTTAAGTGGCCCATGAATGTGTACACATGCATTTTTATAAATACATAACACCCTTTTACACACACACACCCTAGCAGTTTTGCTTGGGTCTTGTAGGTGGCACTAAGGCTGATTTTTTGCTAAGATACTAGAAAAGAAAAATGCAAGTAGATTGCTCTGAACATCTTTGGTGGAATCCACAGCAAACGACGGCTCCCGCTGCACGGACAGGGCCATTCATCGTCCCTCTTTGCGCCTGGTCCTACCAACCTGCATTTCCTGCGTCAGGACCAAGGAGGAAGCCCGTGCGCTCCCGCTGGAGCATCCCTTGGGAAAGCCGCACCCGCATCAGGACCCCAGCCCTGCAAACAGCCTCCAACCTCGTTCCACCCCGAGGACACACGTTTGTATGAACTCACGCCTACCAACACAGACCAGCGCCGTTAAAGACGAGCGGGTAACGTTTATGTCATGCAATTCCTTTAATAAGGAGGTGTGAACAGAGAAAATAAATGTACCAGAGAAAACGTAGATGGTCTATACTTATTCTTGAACTTAACAGATTTTAGCTTGTCTTTACACAAACTTTGACTTTGTACATGATTAGAGTTGTTTAATTGCTAATTCCGTTTTAAATCTAAGTTAATTTCTCATTACCCTTCCATTTCTACCCCTTATCCTCTGGGGAAGAGAGCACACTTATCATTGGGACATTCTCACATCTTCCAAAGAAGTGGTGTAGGTGTTAATCTTTTGTTTATGTTTGATGTGGGTGTGATGACTACGACTACAGCGTTGCATTTATTAATATGCACGGCTATCACCTCATTAGTTGCAAGGTATGTTTTGAAGTTAAGCTGTAATATTTGCTGAAATGTCTGATCTGGAATAAAAGACTCGTTCATTGTTTGTTTCCTTTGCTTTAATCCATGATCTAGTCAGAAACTGCCGTTTGCTGCACTGTGTTACACAGCTTCTTCATGATGATTGCTATCACCACCAAGGAAATTCTTGACTTCTTCACCTGTAAGAGCTTCCTACCGGCCTGGTTTACATGTGTCAACAAGGAAGTCACGGTTATTTCTTTTCCTTTGTCTCCTGATGCATTAAAGGCAGCAGACAGCTGAAGGAGATGACTGAGAAGCAGGCATCTCCCTTGCACTGCATTACTCTGTAGCCATCTCTAAGACAGAAAAGCAGGTCAGCAGTGTGTCCTGAAAAACCATCTCTTGGAGACAAACAGCTGGACCTCGGGAGAAAAATTCTCCCCTCTGTGTCATTTGCAGCACAGTTCTCAGCTTGGCCAAGTCAGCAACACACATCAAGGAGAGAGAAATCTAAATCAAAACAAGTTCCTCTGTTTTTCTTTAGACAATAGCAAGGCCCACACATAGTTCATCAAAACTGACCTCCACTCTCCAGGCAAGGCAAAGGCGGCCGTCCAGGAGGGGAAGTCTCCACTTTACTGCAAAAGCAGAGATCAGCCCCAGGTTCTGGGCTCACAGCAGAGGAGCCGCACAGGGTCCTGCTGGAACAGCAATGGGGCTGCACCACAAGGCAATTCACTGCTCAAATCATCTTGAGCGGCCACAGCCTTTACAGAAAAGATCCAGAACAAAAGGAAATTCAAATCTGCTACTCCTTCCTGGATGCCACAGAGGCTTGGAAGGACTGTGCAGTTTATTCAGAGAAAAACCCAGCCAGGGATGTCCCAGCCACCTTTTCTTTTTATCAATATTTATTCTGGCAATTGCTGAGGCAGCTCAAGCATCTAGATTTTCGTCACTTTGCAGAGAGTAGATGAGCTGATAAATACTTCCATCTGAGAACATGCAAGCTAATAGGTGAAATGTTTAAACTCTCATCAGGAATGGGGCCTCTCTGCTAACCTCGGCCTGCACTGAGTTGGTCTGGATCTCTCTGTTCTTTTAATACAGTGACAGCCTTAGGTCAAACACATCAACAGCCCTAGCGTTTCACTCGCCCTCTAATCAGCGGCATCAAAGCCAGGTTCCTTCCCGATCCCTATTCCCTCCCTGGCCACAGTCCTCTCCCTCCAACCCAGACTAGACTATTCCCAGGTCCGAGGGCTCTCCCAGGCAGGACACACCGCGGGAGAGGGGACGAGGGGGAACTGAACGTAGGTGCCCCATGTCACAGCTCCTGCTCAGGCCATTGCACCGAGGACAGCCAGGATCTTCTGCTCCACAACAGCCTCATGTGCACGGCAGTACCAACACCCGGCCCGAGACTAAACTCCGAGCAGGGGCAGCGCCTCAGACACCTTCTGGTGCTGCCTATTAGCTAATGAGTATTCCTTCCTTCCTATTTCCTATTGAATTGCTCTTCCCCGTCAGGGCTCAGATCCCTGGATCCCTCTCCAGAGGTGCCCAGCTCCCACCATCGACCCTACAAGGACAGTGGCCACCCAAGCCGCGTAGTCCTGACCTCCTTCCCAGAACCCAGCTCCTGCTCTGCACGCTCCAAGCACAGGCAGGCCACGGGAAATACTCTTTGCCTTAGCACGGACAATTTTACAACGTCCAATTTTCTCCTCGTCTCTCTACTACACACTTCTCCTTCAATCCCAAATGATGCCGGTTACTGCACTCTCCAACTGTGTGCATGGACTGAGCGAGCAGATGGGTTAAATTAAACAGGATAGTTAGCAGCATTAGGAACCAGAGCTGTTACTTGCAGACACTTGAGCAACATTATAAAATGTAATGAGTTCCCTTTTCCTGTTTTCTTTTCTTTTTTTTCTTTTTTGGCAGCGGGGAGGTCCTTTGATCTTTAAGCAGCATTTTCTGCATTTTCCAAACCAATGCTTTTTTGAAAGTTCTAGCCCATACCAACCAACTTAGGATGATAGCAGATTCTTAACAAAATCTAACTGCACTAAAAATAAATAAAAAGATTTTTAAAAATACAAATTAATTTCAGGAAGGAGACTAAACATCAAAAATATGTTTGATGAACAACTGCTTTGGTATTTCAAGCAGGCTTAAAACTGTATTTCTTAATTATACATTGCCATTTCACAAGACATGATCCACAGTTTCAGGGATGAAACCTCTGGCAGCGCTTGTAACTGTCATGGGAGATTTCCAAAATACATTAGCAATTTCACCTTATCTTCAATTCTTGACAGCATTCAAGCATCTGATTTGCCTTACAGATTTTGAAAGTTCTACTGGGCATCTCTTTGCAACCCTAAGCATCTAAATGTCTGTAAAATTAATCTCTGTCGCTTTAGTGTTCTGCCTGTAAGGGAGTAGAAAAGAGGTAATAAGAGAAAAGCACCGAAATATTTTATCAGGTGATCTGCTCTGAGGCTAATACATGAGGTTCACTCTGGATAGCTCCACCGGAACCAAACCAGGTCTTAGTATGGTCTCTGTCCATGTAAGAAGGGTTGTTGAAGTAACATGGTAATTTGTTGGAAAACAGAAAACAGCTGTTACTCACCTCTGTGTAAAATCTTCAAGCTCCATAAGTACGTAAGGCCTTTCACAACCTGAATTCAAGAAGAAAGAACAACACAGGTTAAAGGTTCCAGCACCAAAAAAAGAGGAGACAAATGTCTGTTCTGGGGTGTAGTCACACAGTGACTAAAGACACTGGCCTTGGATGAGGAAGCTCCCTCTTCGGATCTCTCGTACACCTCATTATCTTAACTAATAGGTTATTTTCTTTAAGATCATCTTCCCTTCCACTTCCTTCTAGAGCTCAGCAAGCCCAAACCATCACTGACAAACGTGGCCAGGACGCACATTTCTGCAGAGCCGCCTCCAACACCCCGCGAGCTCTAGGGCAAACCACAACCAGGGAGACTGCACAAATAAAAGCTACTGAAAAAACAACCTAGCTGGTAAAATGATGTTATATTAAGAGTCATGTTTACGAAAAACAAACAAACAAACAAAATTCCAGACATACAAAAAATACACCAAAATTATGGGCCACAGATGTAAACCTGCTGCTTGGGGCTTATATGATAGTAGGTTCCTTAGGGACATATGACAAAACTTCTTCCTAAATAAATAAAATATAATTTCCTAATAATAAAACAAACAAAAACCCTGCAAATTACTTCAGAATTACATTGGAGCACCTTATGTACGAGATACATTTTAATCAATGTTTGTACGACCTTGCTGTGGGCTCAGAAATACCTCTCAAACCAGAACCCCACAATACCTCCTTACACAGCGTACTTATTTCTCCTCCTGACCTAATAAGATCATCACCAAATTCTATTCTTACCCTACTTATTTTCCGAATCCAATACGACTGTATTTATAACATAAAGATTAAATAAGATATTCAGTCAACTACCTAACACAGCAGTTGGGTATTAAAAGTTATCATCTCTGCAGGTTTTGCTTCTATAAAGTAATTAAACCCCAACACCTTTCGCATTTAACATTTTTTTCCCTAGATTTACTTTGTTCTAGCAGCCCCAAAGAACTAACAAGATTCAATCAGCACCTTTGTCTTTCTGCTTGTTTTTACCCAAACCATCTCTGCTGCCTCAGCCATCTTCTCTAACAGAGCGCATCTTTTTGCAAAGTTTCCATCTAAGACACGACGTTTCATTCATTTTCCTGAGTTCTCCCTGGGCATCTCCAGAACAACAAAGCATTTCCAAACGTTTGTAAAGTCAAGAGTTTTTCAGACATTACAATTACTACAGTTACACTCTTTTCATTGTATGAGTAGCCTGAAATGAAATCACTTCTGTTACAGTGATCAAGTAGAAGTGCTAAAAATATTATACAACAAGGGAACAGAGAGCATGGTAATTTTCAGCCTTCCTATTGGGTCAGGAACCCACTTTAAAATGTATTTTGTATCCAAGAACATAAGGGGAATCTGAATCTCTTTTGTGTACCAAATAATGATTCTGGATCTCCACTAAATTGCTCTAGCTGGCAATCCTCAGAGTTAAACTCAGTCAGATTACGTGCCCCGTGGTGTGGCCGCGTTCACTTCCATGTTTCCGGAAGCGAAACAGGGGGATTCTACTCGCACAGCATCTCGACATGAGAAGAAAAAATGTATGTCAATGTGAAAATAAATAAGAGGCAAGCAACATCTTGGGTTTCCTCTAACAATAAAAATGATTTTTGGTGCAGTAAATTTATTTCATTATTAAATAATGAAAAACTACTTAAAATCTTCAGAAACATTGTAAAATTAAAAATTTATTTCATTATTAAATAATGAAATAATGAAATCTTCAGAAACATTGTAAAATTAGTTTACTTTAAAAACAGTTATGCAGAGAAATAAAGCAAACTTTTGTTAGGGGAAAAAATAACAGATGTGAGTTATTAAACATCTTTACTATGGTGCTTGTGCTGGATAAGCAGCTATAAAAGACTCAGTGTTAACCAAACTCTCTCATTCAGAATCTCTCAGAGTTTCTCCCCTTAAGCTGGGCTGCCAAATTGAGAATATGCACCCACAAGTGCCCCAAACAGCCTAACCTGATGCAAAGTGCTGTAAATGACCTACCTCAAATTTGCCTATTAGGGAAGGACACTAAGGATTAACCGTTCTTCTAGGATGGTGTAGCAACAGGGTACCTTTTGATTGAACATCTAGCAGGAATTATTGGTATTCAGTAAAGTAGGTTTTACAACAATGACTTGACAAAGCCTTGACACAAAAAGTACTTCTACCTGCTGTCAATCACTCACAGTCTTGACAGTTCAAGTGCACATCCTTTCAGGGAGAACTTCAATCAACATTAGCACTCAAAATACAGTGCACAATGTCACTGCTTCAGAAATTGAAGTGAAAATAAATGTGTGAAGTGGCAAGCAAAGGTAGAACAGATTTTATATTGACAGAACCAAACACACACAGGGTAGCATGAAAACAGGAGCAAATACGACATCACGTTGGGGTTCTCAAGATACACTTTTCCTTTGAAGAAAAAAAGCAGTAGCCCTTCACATATATAGAAATCACAACAGAAAGGTTCCCCTTCTTGTTGGCATCGTTTTGTGGATTTTGGGTGAACGTCAGGGATCTCTGCAGCTGCTCCACACGTGCCCCTCGCTGCCCAGGACCCAGCGCTTCTCCTCCCTGCTTCCTGGCGCTGCCTGGCTCCGTTTCCAGCGCTCTGCCCTGCAGCCCTGGGATACGCAAGCCAGAACCTCCTCTTCCCGCTCCTCTTTGGATTCACATGAGAAAAACAGTTGTATTTGCTACTGTCTGATAACGTTTGATTGACCAAGCGCACAAAACACTCCTCTGGTCCCTACAAAGTCATGGGAGAGTCTGTCTGAAAGCGACTGTAGAGCAAAGGAGTGCAGTTTACAGCCGCTAAGCCGTGCGCTGGGGGTGTTATTTGTATTTATAGCAGCCTGGAAGGCAGTGAGTGAGCAGAGCAGCCACAGAGCCCTGTCCTTTTGGCTGCTGAGGAAGAGATCTCAGGTAGATCAGTCCCAGCCTGTGAAGATCAAAGTGACCTTAAATGTAATTTAGCATTTAAGGCAGTGAGCGGAGCATGGGGCAGTGTGCTGCCTTGTCTTTGTGCCACAGAGCAGACACACATCTTGTTTTAGACCAGCTGCAATTTCCCAGTTTTGGTTGCTGTGAGCAGATAAGAGCTTTTAAAGGCTGGTAGTCCAGTGCTTTTTATGGGCTTACTTGTTTTCTTGTTGTAGGAATTTAAGAAAATCATCAAATCAGAGAGAGGGAAATGCTTGAACCCTGCTAAATGCCTAAGTATGCCTGCATCTTTTTCCTCTGGAAATGGTTTCACCTTAAAACTTCTACAAGTACAATAAAACGGGCTTCTAATTAACAGATGCTCAGGTCACACATTGAAGCTAAGCAGCTTCAATAGACTAATGCATTGTACGTGTCTCGGGAGAATAAAAGACAAATGACTGTGTGCACATGGCACAAGGAAGGTAGAAAGAAAATATATAGATAAAAAAACCTAATGCTTCCTCCAGACTACCAAAACTCCAGCTTTTGCCCACAGATTCCAGGCAAATTCTAGCTTTTGTTTCACATTCTCCTTCTTGTTAATATAGAAAAAAAATCCTTTGGGTACAAGGCGTTCAGGGCTGGGATGGTGGTGCCCAAGGGCAGTGTCCCAGCCCACAGAATGGGCTCCTGGGCTCTACTGAAATGCCAGGCACCAAGAACAGGGCAGACATTTGGGGGAAACTTAAAGGAGCCACTGCTCCTGCCACTGATAAAATACAGAGGAAAACAAAGGCTTTTCTTGCCCCTTCCCACAGGCTCGCTGGGCTGGATGAGGGAAAAATGAGCACAGGAACCTGCCGGTGCCGGCTGGGCCTCTGCGCACCTTCTGTGAGGGGAAAACGAGGCAAAGGGGCGAGTTCCTCCTCTGAAGGCTCCTGCTCCTGCCTTCACCTCTCTCCTGACCCCTTTCCCGCACTGGGCATGGTACAGCTTGCTAAAGAAGCAAATATCCTAACGACAACAACAATCTGAGTATCAGCCCCCCGTCCATGTCAGGGAGTCATGTTCGCTAACTAACAGATGTGTAAAGGGGTCAGGCGGTAGGTGAGCAAAAATAAATATCAAGACATAAAAGCTGGGGCTGAAGCAGCACGGTTAGGGCTAAGTGAGAAATGGAGGGGGACATCTGCGCCAGGCCAAGGCGGGTGGCCTAGGGAGCACGGGAAGAGGTGACACGGGTGGACGATACTACAGAGATTAAGAGTAGGTTAAGGCAGATGTAGTAAATATACAAAAAAGAAGTGAGATGGGGAAAAGGAAAGGGGAGAAACACCCGCAGGCCAGTCCTGTATTACACAACACACACACCATTTAACGTCAGGAATATGAGGACATCGTCAGCGACTTATTCGTTACTCCGTAGGGAAGAGATGAAACGTTTTTGTTCTGAACTGGAGGTGAAAAGCATTCAAATTCCGTAAGAAACTGCTAGGCTATATAATGAGCAGATTTGAAGCTACTTAGAGGAAACAGCATCAGAGAAGGATGTTCATCACCCTGGGCAGGCCACACAAATTAAGAGAAAGTAGAGCTGTGAATTACAATGAACAGAGACTAAATAGCTGCCTGTGTTGGATTAAAGGATTTAAATTGTCAGCTTGATGTATAATGAATGTGAAAACCCAGCACTTAATTAAATGGCACATGATAGAATAACTTTGTTATGCTTTAAACTGCTTAAGTTATCAAAGTATTCCTTATATTTAGCAATTGTTTAGCAGTCTCTCCCCAGTGAGATCTATTAAGACATTGGTCAATCACCCCGTGTTGAGTCACAGCACCGACTGAACAAATTTTTCTCTCTTTTTGTTCCCCAAACTCAGTTTTCAATCCCAGCTAGTGAATTTCTAGAAGTCACTGAAGGCTGCTGAGACACGACCATGGATTACCAGGTGCTGGAAGGAGCCCACAGTCAACACTGCTACCAAACCCAACAGACATTTGGCACTGATGGCTCTTCTGGGACCACAGGCTAATTCAGTGTCCACCCCTGAAGTGTCTGTTGGGGTTTCCAGGCAGGCCTGGTCATGCATGAAGGCTCTGGGAGAGGGGCAAGAAAGTGGCTGGCACCCAGGCCAGCTTTGTCAGCCAATGTAAAAAGCTTCAGCTTTCTACTAATTTGCCTGAAGATGTTCATCTATTGCAGGGTAAGTCAGAAAACATGCTCTACCACTGCATTTTCCTAACAAGGACTGACTGCGTTTTTCAACCTGAGAAGCAGAGCTAATTGAGCTACTTGTTTTGTGCAGAATAAGGTCAGTTAGACTGGAAATATCATGGGAGGATCAGCAGAAAGGGGCAGATGAGCAATCACTGTAAGGGCTAGGACGGAGCTTCTGAACTGCTTTTTAGACACTAGACAGCACAGGAGGACTTAAGAGGTACATAAGGGACACCAAGATGACTGCTCCATCCTAGAAAGGTTACTATGAGGAAACACAGCTGCCTAGTTCTCCAGCAAATTCAGGTCTTTTGCTTATCCCAATAAATTAATCATGTCCTTTTATATTTCTTAAGCCTCTGGCAACTCACCTGTTGATCACTCAAATGGCTGAATTCCTTAAATTCCCATTTGGACACCTTTGCAACAGGCAGAGCAAGCACAGATTACGAAGCCAATGGAGACCCTGAATGTTGGCCCGGGCAGACCCGAAGCTGTCCCAAAGCAGTGTCCCCATGCAGGCACAAGGTGTTTGGGAGAGTGTTAGACAGGAAGGACTCTTCCTTGTGCACAGACAAGGGGACAAGCACTCCAGCAATGATTCAGTGTCCCAAGTGGGCACCTGAGCACTTAAATCAGAGATGTGTTAAATGCACAACCAAATACTGAAAGACAAAAGCAAAGAAGTACTTACAGCTACTGCTATTCTCCCCAGGACATGTTCTGGAATTTTTCTATAAACATCCAAAGAACCCCCTGCAGGGACAAACAAAACGTGCTTAGGTAACACAAAATGAAATAGTGCCCTAGATTTGAAGTCACAAGGGTTTTCTAGGCCTTGGTTATTAATAAAAACACCATCAGTGATAGAACAATAACTGTGTCAGAAATAACTGTCCTTAAAAATCTACCAACCTCTCAACAAACACACAAAGCAGCTCTCTTTCCACCCACGTTAGTTTTGTTTGCAGCATTAACACCAAGATTCATTTTAGCAAACGCCCCAGTCACAGGATGAATCACTGAAACTGGAGAACTCAGAGCCCCCAGACTCAGCCTCACTTTCTTCCGAAGTCAACCGCAAAATGACAGTGGATTTCAAAACGGGAAGCATCCGAACCCTGTCCCAAAGCCCTGTCCTAGCGGTGCACGACACGTACAGAACACACACGCCTGAGGACAGCTTCTTCCCACAGCTCAGAGCACAGGGAGGCTGTGGAGCTCTGGAGATGGAGCAGGAGCAGTTGCTCTCGGGCAGGGGGACAGTTTTTGTCAGCAGGCTCCAGCTGGGCCACATCGCACACGCACGGAGGTGGCACAGACACCTCCGGAGGACCAGGAAGGACCTTTGCCCATCTCTTTCACAGAGGACATGGGAAATTCAATTCAGTGTTAAAAAAAATGCAAATAATTAGGAGATGACCTGTCATTTTTATAAGGGAAAAAATATTTAGTGGATAAACATTGTGGACAAAGTCTCCAAACCCCACTACAAAAGGTAGCTGGGGTACCTCTTGCTACTTTTAATTGGAATTTGGCGGGTGCTCACCACTTCCAAGGAAAAGAGGCAACAGTGCATTTCACCATCTTGATTTCCAAGAACATCTTTATTATATATTACCCTTTATAGATAATAAAGGGGCAAAGATTAGTCATCTTCATTTCACACCTCTAAGATCAATAGGCAGGTAGCAGGGCCACCTCTGTGCTTTGGTATTTGCAAACTTCCCCTGTGAACACCCTTAAGCCACAGTACCTCAAGAGAGGCAGACGGAAAATGCCAAGTTTAAGTCACAGATATCTGTCTGTGCCTAGGTATTTTAAGAAAGAAATACCTGGATTTTAAAAAATCATAAATACGATTTAATGGTACCTCTAGACAAACAGGATCAGGGGGGATTTCTGAAAGACTGGATTCAGAAACTACCAACTGGTCCACAAAGTCAAAAGGCCAAAAATCTGTCAATATTAGCACTTGTTCCTCTGCAGAAGTAGGTTTTGGTTTTTTTTTTTTTTTCTTCTTCCTTTAAACTTCACCTGCATCCTTGCCCATTGAAATTCAAGGTCTGAAAAAAAATTATTGGCAAGGTCCCTTTATTTGCATTTTGTTCTTCCTTTAAATGCCTGTTGTCGCTTTCTGCCAGAAGGAGTGCACAACATGAGGCAGAGCAGAGGTCATCTCCAGTATAATTTCAAGTAATTTCTGCATGGTCAGTAAACACCACCGGCGTGCAGCATCGTGAGAGATGCATGCCTTAAAGGCTTACAGGTTTTTCTAACAAGAACTCAGAACTGCAAGCATTTATGTCCATCATTTTAAAAAGTCTCTGAAGAGGAGCAGGTTTGGTGTGAGCAGCTGCTTTCCTACTACACGTGAGCACTGCTTAACAAACATTTGCAAGGCTGAGTGCATTGCAAGGAGAGAACACAGAAATGGTTAACACCGCACAGCGTGAGAGCACCGGAGAATTTGACTTGTAGGCTTTGCTGAATAAACGTAACACTGTGTCATCAAACTGGGGAAATAAGGGAAATCCAAGCGAATACTCATGCTTGGAAACTGGGCACAAAGATCACTGGAACAGAGACAGGAAATACAGAGAGAGAAAAACAGTAACAACAATAATAATAGACCACTTTTGATAAGGAGAAAACAAAACGTGTCCCCCTAAATTAAAGGGTTTTATTTATGTACTGGTAGAAACAAAGCGGCTACTCAACAACGCTCAACAGCTCATACTTGGTTTAGGGCTTCTTCCTGCCAGGGTGCCTTCCCTGCAAGGGAAATTACTTGCTAGATCCTTGCACCTTTGCTTGCAGCT